GTGTGTGTGTGTGTGTGTGTGTGTGTGTGTGTGTGTGTGTGTGTGTGTGTGTGTGTGTGTGTGTGTGTGTGCGCGCATGTGCGTGTATATGTGCGTGTGTGTGCGTGCGCGTGTATGCGGCGTGTGTGTGTGTGTGTGTGTGCGTGCATGCGCGCGCGCGCGCGCGCGCGTGTGTGTGCGTGTGTGTGCGTGTGTGTGCGGTGTGTGTGTGTGTGTGTGTGTGTGTGTGTGTGTGTGTGTGTGTGTGTGCGCGCATGTGCGTGTATATGTGCGCGTGTGTGCGTGCGCGTGTATGCGGCGTGTGTGTGTGTGTGTGCGCGCGCGCGTGTATGTGTGTGCGCGTGCATGCGTGTGCGTGTGTGTGCATGCGTGCATAAGCGCGCGCGTGTATTTGCGTTCGTGTGTGGGTGGGTGCATACGTTCATGTGGTTATAATATATACATGTGCATGGTCTGCGTATCATAAATATAATTATGCTTACGCATATTGTTAGGTACAATCGTTCAAGAAATTATACGGCGCACAGCTTCTTTGGAAGATCGACAAGTATGGCGAGAAGCTGCACGACGCAAAGTTGGGCAAGAAGACAACCATCTACTCCCCTCCATTCATGACCAGTCGTTACGGTTACAAAATGGCAATGAGTGCTTGTCCGAATGGCGACGGAAAGGGTTAGCAATCTACTAAATTCCTCAGCCCGAGTTAACTTCGAATTTCTGAGAAACCAAGTGTAAAACGAATGCTGCGACGTATGACAAATACACTTGGCGATTAAATGAGAGGGAGCCCATTAGTAGGCATTACTAGTTTCCCAGGTAAAATTATGCAATTTGCCAGGTAATTGAAACCGCATTTTCGACTTTCCCGCGTACTGACTGACATTTATTCCCGATTCACGAAAAATTCATCTTTCATTTCATCCACAAAACTTTCCAATCACACGTATGCTGCAATGACAGCGGATGGCATGTAAATGATTGTGGTGTACTATGATTGCAGCTCTGGGCAAGTTCGTATCCGTCTTCATCTGTCTATGCAAAGGCGACTACGACTCGCTCAACGCTTGGCCGTTCGGACACAAAGTGACCTTCACGATGATTGACCAATGCGAAGATCCGAACGCTCGCAAGAACATTGTCTTTACTGTCAGACCAAACGCCATCAAGGTCAGTCGCAACCGTACCGACTTAGCTGTCGAATTGTGCGTGTGGTCGCAATAGTACTTATCAAGATATAAACTCTTAAAGGGTTCGTATATGTTCTTGCACCTGTATCTAGTTGTACTTATGACGTCGCTCTACATTATCCAACACAGGAGAACCAGGCGTTCCTCGGTCGTCCCATCGCTGAACGAAACGCCAGCTTCGGCACTCAGAAATTCTGTCTGTAACACTTCTGTCTCGACTATTAGTAGTTTTTTATTATATTAGTAGTAAATAGTCTTGGGTAAGGAAAGGCCTTGGGTTTACGACAATATACATCGTTCGTACCTCGTAACAGGTGAACGTTTGTGGCCGTCTGTTTTTATGCTAATTCAATGCTTTAAAATTTCGTGTTCAAAATCAAAGAACCTGCTCATTCACATATACGAGAACTTCCTGATTGCAATTGATGACTCGTTTGAAGATCAGATTAGGTTCGATCCTGTGAGAGTAGCGAGGAGCCTCGTATGCTTGACTGAATGACTGCGTTCGGTTCTACAGTGGTACCATTTCTTCGCTGTCGATCTCCACCTTTATGAAGATAGTGTTGTCGCGAATGTAATCGAGGTTGGTCGGTTATTGTAAAATCTTATTGTTACATCAAAAGACAAAAGTTAGATTGCCCCTCCATGCTTCATGAAAGCTTGATACAACAGGGAGACATTAGTTCTAACAAGGATAATCATGGCGAAGTGCAGAAATAATTTATTTGCGCAACTTTATCTTCTATTATATCTTTGACTCGAGTTGACATAGTTGGTAGGTGCAAATTCTGACGCTACGTGCACAAGCCTGATGGGTAGGATCTTAATTAGATTATAATTGCACTGTAAAGTAGCAGTGGTTTTTATCACTACTCAAAGCAGTTAATCGGAATACTCTCTCATTTTCTTATTCTTTATAAGAAAAGTGTAGTCGGATTCCTGAAACCCTACACGATGCAGTGAGTGATACCCGTCCCAGCGAACATCACACTACCAGTACCATTCTCAAGTTTTTACAACTAGTTTTAGACGTGTTATTTGTGTGGTATCGATAAAAATAAAAAATGAAAAATAAAAGATCCAGTCATGTGCGTTTTATCAACCTTATCATTTCATATTCGTGAAAGATTTCTTTACTGATCATGCTTATGCCACAGTAATAAAAGAACGATCACATACATTCATTATAAAACTTAATCATCATTAAATTATTATTGGTAGGCAGTACACTGTATATACATGTTTTATATTAAATGCTTTTAACAGAACAGACACCGAACAAATATCATCAACAATTTCTACAACGTCCAGCATTATTTTGCATCTTGAGGTCACATAAAGCTGATCTGATAAAAAGATGAACCTCTGTGAAAAATGGCTTGCCGTCCTATGACTACTTGCACCACGTTCAAGATCTATTTAGACCAGTTTGCTAGTATTTTGCCATTCTATTCAGAGTCAGACAAGATATCGTCACATTGAACACCAGCAAATGGCTTGCATCGAATTGTTCAGCGGTCTCAATTAAACCTGGTATCACTTGGCTTTCTTTTCCTGTTGCGTTGACTTCTCCTGTGCATTGTGTGGTTTCTTCTCATCTGGAGTTCCTAACACGTCCTTCTCCACTTCGTGCAGGTCAATCTTCTTCTCTACAATCGCTTTCTGCAATGTCGCAAACAGAACAAGCAAGGGTAGTTCATTTCAATCCCGCATATCAGACCAGGAGAAGTGAAAAGGAAAACAAGTAGAAAATGCTTTAATAGGTATAAAGCTCCGCGGTGAATTCTCAGTAACGTGTATACGCCGTACAGTTTATACGAACTCACAATTACGCTCATTATAGTAGTGTCAATTACATTCAACATGGCAGAGATGTATTATATATTGATATTCTGAAATCATTACTGCACCAGAAACACACGAAAACATAATCATGCAAGAAAACAAACCACAAACAGGAACATTCTAGGCATTAGCATTTGCCATAGAATTTATTTCCATATGATATAAAACATATATGTATACTATATTAGTTATTAGCAATATTTTCGGGAAAAAGTCTGTGAGGCAATTCACCGGAGAAGCGAAGATGAGGATTTAGATAACCAAGAGCTCCACAAACATTCCAAAGAAGCTGCAGGAATGCAAAAATGGCAAGACAACTCACACATAGAGTCAGTCATACATGTATGTACCTACACATCCCATCATAATACTTGGTCTCATCATCCTCATCTTCAGTTCTATCATCTCATCTCATCTCTTCATCTCATATTCCTCCTTGGCGACCGTAACCACCAACATCAATCCCTCCCTGGTGCCACAATTCCCTATATCAATGCACTCGAGGTTGTCACAAACATTTCCAATCAAAATCGCTCATCTCCAACGCACTACTGTCAGATACACAAGCAGAATCGCACAGGTTGCTGTTAGATTATAGTTGTGGATCAGTTCCAGTGGTAGCACCAAAGTTTGATTTCTGGTCCGGATGCGATGTCCAGCACTAACGACAGTATCCTGTTCCAAGTTGGAACTCCCTGGTCTCGACCGCTACGAACCGCCATGACGTTATGATGCATAATTAATCAGGAGTCCCCCGTTAGAGTCCTCCCTGACGAAGCTGGGAGTCTCGGGCTGCGCCGGCGTCGGCGTTCCTGCCCGCGCGATCCCCGCGCCGTCAGCGTCCTCCTGCAGGCGTGCCATGACGTGGGGCACGTGAGCGAACGCGCGCTCCCTGCCACCGTTCCCCGGGTCGCAGACTCCGCACCAGACGAACGCGTTGCGGATCTCCTCGGCAGAGACCTCGTCCCACGCGGTCGCGATCCACGTGAGAAGGTCGAAGCTCGTCGGCTGCAGCAGGCCCGCCTCCTCCGCCGCGTCGCCGCCGCCGCCATCGTCGCCCGACTGCCACGCGCATATGCGCTCCTGCATCCACTGGCCGCGTAGCTCCTCGAGCCGCAGCGCGAACGGCCGCACCATGCCGACGTTGACGGGGTTGCAGAGCGGCGCGCAGCAGCGCGGCACGTAGACGAGGTCGCAGTTGGCCGCTGCCGCTGCGCGCGTGAACTCTGCGTTCTCGCGCGCGGCGCCCGCGTCGAGCATGACGAGCAGACGCTCGCGCGGCGCCAGCGTCTGCTGCGCGGACATGTCGTCGATCCACCAGCGCATGACGGCGCGCGTCAGCAGCCCGTTGCTGCTCGAGTGAATCGACATGTTATCGGGGATGCCCGCCAGGTGGCAGTAGATGTCCGGCAGGAAGTCGATGCTCGGGTCGATTAGGATCACGCTCACCGGGCAGCTTACTGCCGTCGCGCGCGCCGCGAGTATCACGCTCATCTTGCCCGCGTTGTAGTTGGTGCCGCACACGAACACGGGAGGCATGTAGCTCACCTGCGTCTCTCCGACGCCCACGACGACGCTCTGCCGGTAGCGCGTCGTCGACATCTGCCGCACAAGCATCGTCTGGAACGCACGCAGCTTCTCGCGGTAGTCCGCCGGGATCGCCCGCAGCTGACGCGTGCCGGACACCGTCTGCCGGCCGACGTACTTCAGCCGCCAGCGGCGCAGGAACTTGGCGGAGGCGCGGAACGACGGCGGCAGGTCGAGCTCGCGTGCAATCGTCAGCGCCTGCAGCTGCAGCAGCTTCGCCGTGACGACGCAGCCGTCGCTCTGCTGCTCGTCGACAAAGTCTAGCACCTCCGGTCAAGCTCGGCCGACAGGACCGGTCGGCCGGAGTTGCCGACGGCAACGCGACTCTGCTTTTTAGCTTAGTGGCATCGCACGCCGTAGTTTCGCTCGGTTTCGCGCCTTCGAGTTCCAAAGCCCTTTTCAGCTTACCCTCTTTACGAACCCAGTCCCTTATCCGACATGGCTGTACACCAAACCTTCTTGCCGTCCCTTTGACGGTGCCGCCATCTTTAACCGTCTGTATTGCTTCAAGTTTATACTCGGCCGTGTAAGACTTTTTAGTTCGCAGGCTTCTGGGGGTTGCATCGTCAAAAGCAACCAATGCTTTTGCAGCACGCACCTGATTCATAACTGCTATTAATTCTATTCATTTGATGTATTAATTAAAATGTAGAGCCAGGAAAAACACGATTTGTATAATCGTGATTTCATCATGTCCATGCTGTTATGTTCCAGTATGGTAAGAACGATTATTAGAAAACACAATAAGATGGTAAGTGTTGATCTATGACAAAAAACTGTAGCAGAAGGGGTTTCTCTGCTCTAAGTCTAATTCACCTTCACACACGTCTGATACGCCTTGAAAAGTTCTCCACACGTATCTTCTGTTTCGCCATTCAGAAACTTGTCAGCAAACCATGCGTTAAAACACGCATCGTATGATCTCTTCAGATCGTTGCACTCCTCTCCAACACTATTCATTGCCAAATTCGGTTTGGTTGTGTAGACAGCTCAGCGTAACAAGGTAATCTAGAGATGAGACCTAGAGAACCAGAGAAACTAAAACAACTGTAACAAACAGTAGTAAAGTACTACGAACATAAGGCTGATGGTTGATTCCAAAGATCCAAACGCCAATTTTCCGGTTGGGCCGGATGTTGCATCTCCATGACCTAAATAACAAAATTAGAGCACTGATATTATATCATTGTTATTCTAACTTATAGTTATAGCGACGCAACTGCTTAAAAATGATAAGTAAATTTGTCTAAAAACAAGTGATAATTAAACATTATTTATTGATTTGAGTGGTTTTCACAGCACTACTCGATCTATACCAATAACTGAATAATCAATATGTCTGCGCCCATGGCCATGGCATAGGTATACTTGCGGCTACATCTTCCCTTATGCAAATTGCAATGATATTATGCAATGAATAAGTAATTAAAAGTCATAAATAATGTCATTGGTTCTCTCAAGACTTGGTAATACCGTAAAAAGGTTAACTTCTTTTTCAAAGCTGTGTAAGTCAAAAAGAGTGTTCGCATCAAATGAAAAGTCAAAGGTAGGTATAAAATTCGGCTGAAATAAAAATGTTTTGTCTTGTTGTTATGACTTATAAGAAATGATTATGATCAATCATCACTCAGCAGAGCTTCATACGAAGCTAGGACATCTTCATACGAATAATTCCTATGCAAAAGCGCACATACCTTTGCTCACTAACTGATCGAGTACCGGTACCATCGCCTGTTGTATTATCATAATTATCTGTTCTTGTGTCAACAAGTTATCAGCACTGGCATGTGCTGCCACCGATGGAGGTTGAGGGAAAGGAAATAAACATGGCTGGTTTCTGTTAACGCAAGGCTTTTGTCCTACTCATTATTTGTGTCTAATTAACGCCCACAAGATAAACCTCCTGACTCAACATCGCCATACCGAGCGTGACTGTGATTCACGGACAGGGTGACCAGACGTCCCGTATTTTACGGGATCATCCATTGTCCCAACTCCGGGTCTCGCGTCCCGTATCAAACCTCAATCCCCAGAACGCCTTTTGTCCCGTATTTTTAAAATTGTTAACATTCCCAGTTAATTAACGTCAAATGCGCTGAAAGAGTGATCTATTTCATGATAAGAATGTAAAAACCATTGCCTGAAGTGTTTTGTATTTCATATTTCAAAACCTAGCTATGTAACGTTATTTTTGGAGCCTGTAGGCTGTACAACCCAGGAAACACCATTATTTTCATTTCAAATACTATAAATTTATCAGCGTAAAGGGGGAGCTGCCCCCTTGAACCCCCTGCATCCGTAACAAACACCTCACTGCACTCGGCATGTCCTGTATTTCACATTTCAAAATCTGCTCACCCTTGAAAGTGGTGTAGTGTCTGCTTACTCTTTCAACCTAGTGAGTAGTGTCACATTTAATAACCAAATGAATCAATAAAACTGATTTGCTTACCGGCTGGACGCTGCTTAACGAATGTAACACAATTATCTCATCATCGGGCTATTACAGACTACAGTGCCACTCCCTGACTTTGATACCAAGACCACTGATACTGAAGATTATAGGCATAGCTGTTACTCGAGTCGATACATATATTGCATGCTGAATTCATATATGACAGCTATATAGTGCATGCATGTTGTCACGATTTCTGTCCCGTGGTACCACACAGGATAAAACGTTGTTGTTGTACAGTAAACTTTGGTGAGGGCTGGTAAAGAATTGCTGTTACAATCTAGTGTGCTGGTGCAAAAATCTAAATATTACACCCTGCTATGTTTAGCAATGCTTTGCCTCTATACAAAAACAGATCAATAAATGTTTGCATGTGTGATACACTGACCTATGCACATACTGTAAATGCCATATCATGTATATTTAATATAATGAATAAACTGCTAGCGAATAGTAAGTAATAGTACTATACTTGATAGCAATAAATATGTGTAAGAACAAAAAAATTAAATTCAGATCAACTCTGTGCTCCAGATCGATACACTAATCCCTCAACTATTTACATGCAAACATGCCTGATGCAGAATACTAACAGCATTGTACATTTTCTTTTTCGTAAAACTTAATGGGATGTTCGGTTGTATAGTTTGCTAAATAACCAACAACTGCTTCTGGGTTGAGGGTACCAGCGAAACAGTCATATAAATATAATAATATCACTTTTATAACTTTTAGGTGCCCCAAAAGCCAACTTGGAGCCATGTGGAAGAAAATAAATTGACTGAGGTATCTTTTAGCAGCTGTATATTACTTAATTATCATGAATATATACAATAATAATATGTTATACAGTAAAAACCCGCGTATAAGAACATAGATTTTAAGAACATGTTAGGCTAAAATTTCCCATTTAGACCCCTTTACATAAGAACCTGTTTTAGGCTAAGATTTTAAAGTAGGTTCTTAATTTTCCATGCAGATGAAGACTTAAAAAGAAACACAGGTAAAATAAAAAAGACGAGCTCAACAATATCGATGCAATACCAAGCCAATGCCAATGCCAATGCCAATGCCAATGCCAATGCTCAACAATAACAATGCCAGCACCCTGGCATTGTTATTGAGACACAGTACTGCATTATCTACTTGCTAGTACATATTAAAAGTAGAAACAATTAAGAACCTATTTAAGAACCTTTTGAGCCTAATTTTTCAGTAAGCACCATTTATATAAGAACATGTTGAGGCTAACTTGGAAAAATCTATGTTCTTATACGCGGGTTTTTACTGTATATTGGAGCTAGACTATGCCTTCATTTTAGCTCTAAATTTTTCATATTTAGGAAACACTGATAGACAATGAAACCATTGACCATCTCGAACGGATGTCATTAGTAGACTTTAACAATCAAGCTGGTATCGATCGACTGAACAAAGCAATTCGCTTTGCGGATCAGTTGCAACTGGTCAACACAACTGGAGTTGAACCAATGGATACTGTCCTGGAAAACAGGTTAGCCACATACACAACTTATATATAATACTTTCATGTGGATTATGCTGGTAAAGTGTTTAGTTACTATCATGTATTTTAACCATGTTCTGGCAGAATTGATGTTACCTGCATTAATTCATGCAAACTTTATTTAAAGGTTGATTTTACTGTTATGATAAGAAGCCAATATTGGTAACTGATGTTTTTTGAGATTACACAATATAAAGTATATTCATTCTATAAAGGTCTCTTTACTTGAGAAGCGATGAAGTGACTGATGGAAATTGTCAGAATGATATCCTCCAAAATGCTACCAAAGTCATTGAGGATTATTTTGTTGCTCCTCCAGGTATGTAGAACGTTATTTTGTTTAGAGTAGATCTGCTGTTTACTTGTACATGCATGATACAGTTTAATAAATGCTTATCCGTTATCTTGCACGTGTAACTGTTTATATGCCACTAAAGATGGAGTGTTGAATATAGTGTACTTGAGTATCATTGCAATAAGCTATTATTGTAGAAGGGAACCCATTATAGCTAGGCGCACACGTGCTATACGTATATGCCTCTCAGCTGCTGGCGCCACCTGTAGGTCAAGATAGCTTATTACCAATCTAAGTTAGAGATATAACTGGCAATAACTACTAAACTAAGTTGTACATTCATCAATCATCATCATATCATCATCATCATCCGGCTTTAGTTTACCCAGGACTGAATTAATCCTGTCCCGAGGGTGGGGCCTGTCCGACGTGTCGCACAACAAATACTATACTATTCACTATCACAACACCCAGACCAAATCTTACGTAAATATTTTACCGCATAATAGTGTTGCTTAGAATATAACAAACAAATACTTCAAACAGTACTTCTTAGAAGTGTGTATATAGCATAGATACCTGTGCTGTTTCTTGCTGTACTTATGAATCAGATCAGTGCTGTGATCAGTGCTCCATGCCTGTAAACAGTTCTTGACTGAGCTTATTTAAAGGCATATGTTTTCAGCAAATGTGGAGGTAAATTGCTTGAAATTAATACGTTATACACAAGGTAAAATATTTAGTAATTGTATCCCCCGCGACGAAGTCAGCGGGGATACTATGGTTTCATGTCTATCCAGCTGCCGCCCGTTGCCGCCGCAGACACTTTCCCTTCTGCTCTATAACACGACCCGTAATTAACCTAGCGTGACCAATCTTGGTATACTTACACATCTTGGGGAGAAGGTGTGTTACGTACCAATCCCAGGTCACTGCGACCTTTATTTGACCTTAATATTGATCATATTTTCCTTCCGCTCTATAACTCGGGGCCCCTAATTGACCTAGTGCGACCAAACATGGTATACTTACACATTTTGGGGAGGTGTGCCGCATACCAAAACCAGGTCACTGCGACTTTTATTTGACCTGGACCTTTATCATATTTCCCTTCCACTCTATAACTCGGCCCCTAATTGACCTCGCGCGAGCAAACTTGGTATACTTACACATCTTGGGGAAGTGTGTTGTGTACCAAAACCAGGAGATATTTCATTCATAATCGATCGCGGGGGATACATGACACATGTGGTTGGCGACAATTGCCATTTCTAGTTTCGTTTGATAATCACGCATACGAGATTTCGCAAAATTTCAGATTGTAAAGCACAGGGTTTGGAGTTTTACGTAAATTTGCTTCGCAGACATGCGAATAGCTAACAGCTTCGCTATTTATTCAAAAGTAATCTAACTGTTTTACACCTAGCTTCCTTTGTTGCATACGTTACACTCAACTCATCGCAATAATTATTACAGGTAACATCCCATTGCCAGACCAGGAAAGGGATTATGGACCTGCAAGTGCTAAAAAGAGGAAGTGACATTGTCTGTATTTGATGATTGTGATAACTTGACCTCAGCTCTCCTCGCTAGGGATGTACGATTGAAGTAATACATGCACGCTATCAGAATTTGTGTACATATGTAATTACTGATATCTTTAGTGTGTGTTAGATTATACAGTAAAACTCGCATAAGTCTACACTTTTGGGACCAGTATATTTGTGCCGACTTACGAAAATGACTACATACATGTAAGTCGTCATTTTCTCGACTTATATGTAGGGCTCCCCTCCCAGGCGCCCGTCACCCCTACGCAGTCATAAACATGCTCCACACACGATGTCAGTTCGCGCCACAGACATAGCGGACATCAATCGACACCGCTGCTGGCCACAACGCACGCACATCGTACGAACTAGCGGCAAGCGTGGCACACGCTGGCTATCTGTAACACCTGCTGTTGATTACATGTTGGCGCATACCTGTGACAGCCAGCTCATGCATCCGCCAGACTGTACACTGTGCCATTAGCATTTCTGATGACTTAAAAAAATAGGAAATTACTGTTGTTTGTATTACTTATTGTTGTTGATGATGGGACCTGTCTGAGGGCGACGACTTATAAATGACGACTTAGGAGGGGCTATTCCAATGGATTTGCGATGAGAGAAAATCAGGATTTTGACCTCCATGACGAGTTACTGTATTTTTCAATCACAGCCCTGATACGTGATCTTATTGATGCATTCAGTAGAAATAAATGTCTATAACATAATAAGGGGAAAAATACTCTTCAGTGTATTAGAATGTTTAGCCACCACAGACGAAACATTGACCGTGTACTTTATAAGTTCAGACGATGGGAATGTTTGGTAAAGCAATCGTCTCCTTTATTGCCACGGCTTTGCTGGTCACATATCAGTTGTAGCTGCCAAAAGGTAGACGAAATAAAACTCCCGGTTATAGGAAATGGTATGTCTTCATCCATAGGCATACCGTGCTGAACACTGGGAAACATTTTACAAAACAAAAAATATTATAACTACAGTAGTCCTTTATTTTCAAGTAATACACAAGAACAGGTCAAACACAACGACCAGTATTCCAGTATTTCGTATAACACTCATTTTGTAACATAGGTTGTCAGGTGGTTTGCTGCCAATATAATTGGTACATGCAAAATGTTCCCCATGGATGAAATCAAGAGCTAATAAATATCTAGAGCGTACAAACGGGGGAAATAGTGCTATTTAACGGCAATATTATTCTACTTTGTATGCAGTTCTAGACTAAGTTCATGGTATTGCGTTAGGCAGCATTCTTAGCTCTCTAAAATAAGACCAACCGCTTGTCTCTACGATACTCCTAGTATAGGCCGAGATATTGGCGCGTAAACATGCCGCCTCGCATCCACAGTATTCACTATCCTTCTCGCCTTTTGCCAGTTAGGAAAGTCGCTTCGTGAGAGTTCGTTTTTTCCCGCGATAACTTTATGAATGAACAGCGTTTCGGTTATCATCGGTGACTTTTCGGGGCATCGCCTATGCCCTTGTCTCCCATTATCTTTCCTAGCACGGCTAATGCCTGTCATGATGGAGCCGGCAATGTTTTCTAAATTAAGTCTCTACAACGCAGCTCAGTTACTATATGGTGTAGTAAGAGTACCAAATTTGGGCATGTGACATCAATTATCAGCGCTCCAAGCGGCGACAGAAAACGATAGCCAGACCCGCAAAAGGCAAGAAGGATAGTGAATATTGTGGATGCGAGGCGGCGTGAGGCCTGTGGGAGGCATAATTACGCTCCAATATCTCGGCCTAGGAGTATCGCAGAGACAATCTGTTGGTCTTATTTTAGAGAGCAAAGAATGCTGCTTAACGCCATACCATGAACTTAGTCTAGAACCACATACAAAGTAGAATAATATTGCCGTGAAATAGCACTATTTCCCCGTTGTACACTCTAGGTACTTATTAGCGCTTGATGAAATTAGTAGTGTTGTGCACTGACAATAAAACATTTATTTATAAATTTTTTGCCTACATAGTAACCGATTTATGTATACATCAAGGAGCTAAACATAACAAGGAGAGGAAGCGAATTGGCTGTGCGCTTTTTGCCTCAAGGGCGCCATCTATGGACCATAATCAGCTGAAACGGCTGTGCAGACCGAATTCAGAGACAATAGAACACTAATCTGTTCTAGGGTCTCTGCCGAACCCAAATTTGGGCCAGATATGGCGGCGCTTCCTCTCCTTGTTATATTTAGCTCCTTGATATACATATATCATTCAACTTGATATTATGATTTTGACATGTTGACCTATTTATTCCTATATTATCGTTAAACATCACATTTTCAAAAACGTATTTAAGCAGACAGGTACCAATGTGCATGAAGTCTTCCTCTACTCTCAAAGCAAATATCCACTTCATGGGTTTTTGATATGTTGAGGTTGTTTAAGATTTCTATGGCTATCATTCAATAACTCAATACCCTATTAATTAATATTTCCATCCTTTAAATCAATATGAATTTGTGGAATGGTTTAGAATTTATAATTAACCATGCACTGGATTTAGGCAATAATCTCATTCCATGTACTGGTCTTTTTAATCGCCCCTTCACATTTTAAAAATACATAGAAAAGCCTTGAGTGAGTGAGACCTGCCACATGCTATCTGATATAAACTTGAATTATTCTGATTTGTTTCAGTTGCAGCTATTGTATATTTGTATAACTATATCTCAGCAGCTTCTTGAGTGCATCATCATCAATCATTATTCCACAAGTCATAAAACAAGTCAAATGGGGGAAAACACCCTTGAAATAATGCATCACATAGCAATTCACCATCTTTCTTAACTGAGAATATTACACTTTTACTCTCACACTTGTCCTCCTAGAATAATTTGGGGGCTCTTGGATCCTATTTGAATCCTGTTTGAGATCCAGAGTCTTGAAATCCAAAGTTCCCGAGACAATCCAAGTTGTCCTCGGATATCCTATGTGTACATACTGACAGTATTGCGCGATAAACACAGTTTGTTCCTTCTGTTTTGCACATTATCCAAATTTGTTATGACTTTATCCTAATCCTAGGAAGGAGACGATCCTATGATCCCTCCATGTATGCCGCAACCTTGACGAAAGGGAGAAGAAAATGTTAAGCAATCTAAACACAATTACCACGCAAACTTACATTGCTGAAAACCATTACATTGTGGGAGTGGTTGACCTACCACATCTAATTATCGCTCATAAACAAAGTACAGCAAAATCTAAAAAACAAAAACAAAATGATGCTCGATCATTTTGTTGCCATATTCCCAATCTAACATGGATTTCATTCTTTTAGTAAGTATATAGATTTAGTGTCATAGACGGTTGGTATCTCGGGCTGGTGACATCTATGATTGTGAGCGGCTGCGCGAGCGTGAACGTGAATAGCTTGGTGACCGACGACGGCAGTAGGGAGAAGGGCTCCTGTCACCTACACTCCCCCTATAGTCTTCCTTCACACGCACGTATGAAGTTTCCCCCTGAAATTGAAGAAAAAAGAATGAATGTACAATAAAACACACTAAACAGGCTTCGCCATCTGAGAAAACTAAGGGGCCTAAAAAAATGGCCGTCATTTACTCGACGGGGCAGATTTTTTTAAACTGATGAATTATGTAATAAAAGCTTTGTTACATTCATGTGTATTGTTACTATGCTTATTCACTACTATTTGGTATATGAATTTATAACAACCGGTGTTCTTTCTCGATTCTCGGAATCTCAAAATTTGACGGGTATGGAAAAAAGCCCCGTGGCCACCGGAGACGGGGCCGTTTTTGGGGCTTGGGCCGATCGGCCCCATGAAAAGGCGAAGCCTGACTAAAAATCATGCAATCAAATATACACGCTTGCACAAATTTCAACCTAATGGAAGCTTACCTCGTGCGACCTGAACTTGGAATCGTCTAACTTGCGGACAGCATACACCATGTCGTCATAGCGTAGAAACTCCACCACGCCTGTACCATCCCTGTACACATCTGCATAACAAACATCACCAGCCTCTCGCATGTGGTCCTTTAGATCCTGCCAGCTGCCCGTCGGTGGGAGCCCTACAAGTATTGGGAAAACCAAGCTGCTTTAAAAAGTTGTTGATAAAAATAAATATAATGAGATATTAAAGAACAGGAATCGGACCGTTTTCGATACACGAACGCGCATGCTGTATTCCAGTAATATTTTCGGTAATTTATTGCCACATTTACGATGAAAGAGAACACAGATACCCGTTACGACGACTCGATAGTCGGATCTAGAGGAAGGGGGCCCAGGGCGTCTACCACTACCAGGGCCAAAGCCTCGAGCTCCTGGCCCTGAACCACGTGGGAACTCAACACGAAGTCTGTAGCCGTCGTAGTTATATCCATCTCGTTCATAGACCGCATCCTCCGCATCCCTGTGATAACGGAAAACCGAGATTACTTAGTAAGTTGTAATAATACTTCCATAGATACCTTTACCAATATAGCACTAGGAATGCTGCCTCAGGCTACCTCCCTGTGCTACAATCACCACTCTACAAACATCCTCAGACTGTCAATGATTATTATATTGGCAGTGGCTGGAGGTACGGCAGCCGTATCTCCAACTTACAAGGCTGGGGTATGGCAGTCCATTGAATTCACTTTCATACAAATGAGACAAAGATGGCGGCGGAGGGCGGCAGATTTCGAAATAATGCATTGGGAAATAAATTCATGTTTTGAAAGTTTTGATGAGCTAGAAACACTCGGATTAGGTATGAAAGTGAACATTATTGTAAACTTTACTTCAGAATATCGCAAATAATTGCCTCAGCCCTCAAACAAACGCCAACAAGGGGCTTCAACGAACAACGGCTGCCATACCTCCAGTCACTTTGTATTAATTATTATATTAAGTTAACTGCATTGGCCATCTATCAGGGTGGCACCAAAAATCGCACAAAGCCTGAAGAAATTCTCGCGTTTGCTCCCGTTGCGCAGTTTATGTAAATGGCTGCAAGTACAGGGCTATAGGCGGCGCACTGCATTTTGGGAAACCACCACGCTGCTTTCCAACTCCCGTACGAGCCTCGTCAAAGCCACCAATGGAGCGTTGCAAAAACGTTACAGCGCAAAAATGAGGTCACGAAGAGCGCAGGTGGGTGTTTCCTGATTCCGACAGCCATTTACATAAACTGCGCAATGGGAGTGAACGCGAGAATTTTGTCAGGCTTTGTGTGATTTTGCATGATACAGCTCGGTTACGAACATAGCCAGTATGTTTTTATAACAAGTGAACACTGTTCTTCAAATAGAAACAAAGATGGAGTAGAATGGTTGAACTTTTTTGTTGTATTCGTATGAAATCAAGCGAACGTCGAGCGAATTTTGGCAGCACGGTTTCCTACCTGCTATATATTTATGTGTCAGTGTGCAGCAGCTAGCGTGCGGTGTACTTGTGTGTTACAGTCTTGCAGATGAGCATTTGACCGGTGTTACGGTCTGAGATTACCCCCAGCACCTCATGCACAGTAGCGCTGGATAACGAGACGGCCGCGGCCACAGTCTGAGATTAGTCCGGCAGTAGGAGGGTAAATTCAGACTGGGGTAATCTCAGACCGGCAGGCCTCGACGCTTATTTTCAGATCTGGTTGTCCTGTCGGGCAACAAGAAGCAATTTTTACTTGTCCGAA